GATGGATCCATATGGCGAAGATTTCTGCAGCTAAATAAATTTTCAACTTGGGATATATGTGTGCATGAGCGAGTTATTTCAGCTGCTTGTATTCAAATGCCTTAGGTTCCCATTTCTAATTCACCATATTAGCCGAATCGATTTGTGGTACCGAAAGTTAAGGACTGCCGACAGTCGACAGCGTGATTAGCACCACCGAGCCGCTGCAAGCAAAACGTGTATTAACAAGGATGCAGAGCGTTGTAAGTAACTAAACTACTCTTTTTCTGTGATTATCATTTATGTGCTTCTTTCTATCGCATCATCAGGTTTTTTGACGGAGTAAAACAGAATTGTCGTTATGAATTGGGTTATTTTCGAAGAATTGCAAAGTATTAGAGGATAAATTTCTGAAATTGTCATAGAACAATGTTGGAAGGCAACAAATTCCAACTGCAATTTCGACGGTAGTAATAGTTCTATTCTTCTTCACAGCCGCTGTACGCAGAATTTTATAGACCAGAGCAAAACAGTTAGCTGAACAGAACTTACTAGTGACGTATCGTGAAATGACAAGTCGTTAGCAAATTACAGTGGATGTTAGGTACGCGAGCATGCAAGAGGAAATATGAATGGGCGCGGGTCGCGCCTTGAATTGCATTACTTCGAATATATTTAAATTCTATTGCATTTTATTTTATATTTTGGGAATTTCATACCTAGAAAAACAGGTATGAAATTATTAGCTACTATGATGAATCTGCGCAATATTGAAATGGTTGAAGGTGAGCCCTGTATATGCACTAGGCTGTTTGCAAATATTTTGGGAGAACTTTGAGGACTGATTTAAGTGATTATTGTCGGAGAATGCTTAACAGTATAGGCGAATGTTTTGTGATGGCGAATATGAGAGAAGTTTTAATACTGGTTACGGTGAGAGAATGTTTCGCACTCCCGTACGTGGACAATGTGAGGTATCCGCAATAAGTATGAATGAAAGTGATTGAATTTTTTTTAAAGGCCTCCCACACTCACCATTCCAACAAAAAGGAATTAATTTTATTAATTAACTACAGGGAATGGTTTCATGTCAATGATCAGGGCCCCGACCTTAACGCCTCTGATGGTGGCCTACACCGACTCCGAGGGTCACTGAGCTGTGACGCGAGCGAGGAGCGGGCCCACGTCGAACTTTTCTCTGACTGCTGTTAGGATGCTAGCTGCATTGCCTCTCTGCACAGCCAAACCCAACCTTTGCTCCAACCGAATGTTGGAGAATCCGAAAGTTGGAATGATAGAATGTTTCGGACATGGATAATGGGGGAGGATATTGAGCTGTATTGAATATTGGATAATATTGATTGTAGAGTCCTATTGAAAGTTAGAGAATGTTTTGTTGTTGGTAACGCGGAAAGTTGGGGTTGAAAGTTGTAATAACTGATATTATTACCAGTTCAAATTCGTGTTTCTAACCAATTTGCTACATTGTGCCGCGGTAATACATTTTTTTTAATTTTTCCGTCTAGTCTGCATATATATAGCGTACAATTCAAATACCCCCTCTCTTCCCCCCAATTGAGGGGGAAGGGTGAAGGCATTTTTAATGCACTTTAAAATTCGGCCATGTCTATGCCGAAGCTATCAGTCGCCAAATGCGCGCGCCCCACGAACGCCCCAAGCTCGCTCGGTCTTGACCGGATTCTAGTCAGACGCGCTGGGCGAGCTAGAGGCGTCTTTAACTCAGAAGCTGCTCACCCTCAAAATTTCGAAAGGGTTAGCGCAGTGGTTCCCAAACTTTTTCAGGCTGGCGCCCCCTTTGGCTCCCTAGTGAATTTCTATAGCGCCCCCCACGGACACATATAAAAACATGCGCCTCTTTCTTGAAATTTAGTACGCTGCAATTTTAAAAGATAAAGGTTAAACACAAAGTGTATTTCACCAATGAAACCCAATTTAGTGAATCAATATGTTTTTAAGCTGTTTTAACTGTTTCCGCACTAGAAACCTAGGACGTCTCGGGCAAATTTACGGCCTGACTCGTGGCCGGTCGCACGACCAATCCCCAAATTCAATGATCAAGTAATATCTCCCAAACTAATGAACGCAGCTCAATAAAACTTGAAACATTTATTCATCAGAACTTAACGGTGATTTTTAGCTCGTAAAAATTTTTAAATTTCACCTTCATTCGTGATGTTATATTGCGATGAAGGCCGGAATTCGCAGTGGTCAAAGAATTTCTCCCAAACTACTGAACAGATTTGAACGAAATTTTGAATATACATTCCTAGCTACCAAACAGTGATTTTTTTAGCTTTTAAAAAATTTTCGATTTTACCTTCGTTTGCGAGTTTTTTTTTATTTCACCGTCATTCTTGATTTCACACTTCCTTGTATTCGGCCCGAATCGCCGTATAATTTGTCGCTTAAATTCGCGGCGATCAAGAAATTTCTTCTAAACCACTGAAAATATTTCAATGAAACTTTGTATATAATTACCTAACCTCCCAACGGTGATGTTTAGCTCGTGACAATTTTTCTATTTTGCTTTCGTTCGCGAGTTACAGTATACAGATATAGGAGGAACGACCGGCTTTTCTACCGGCCGGTTTAACCAGGAGCCGTTTACGTATATCCGTATACGTATAGCCGTATAACCCGCAAACAAAGGCAAAACGAAAAAATTGTAGTTAGCTAAACATCACCGTTGCTGAGGTTAGTTATTTAAATACTAAGTTTCTTTCAAATCTATTCAGTAGTTTTGGAAGAAATTCCTTGATTACTGCGAATTTAAGCACACATTGCTGTTTAAATCACGAATGAAGATGGAACGAAAAAAAACTCGCGAACAAAGGCACAATCGAATAAATTTTCACGAGCTAAACATTACCGTTCGGTAGTTGGGACAGTAAATTCAAAATTTCGTTCGAATCTGTTCATTAGTTTGGAAGAAATTCCTTGATCACTGTTAATTTCGGCCCGTATTGCCATATAACTATAGCAAAAACAAATGAAGGCAAAATAAAAAAAAATTATTGATCTAAACATTACCGTTATGTCCTAATGAATACGTGTACCAAGTTTCATTGAGATAAGTTCATTAGTAGAGAGATATTCCTTGATCATTGAATTTGGAAATTGGCTGTGAGACCGGCCGCGATCCGGCCGTTAATTTGTCCGAGACGTATACCCAGGAGAGGTAAAAAAACAGATCTGGGTAAAAAACCATCGCTGTGAGTCATTATGTGATGCACGTGTTGTGTACAAATCGCCAAACAAACGTTGAAACTTCTGACTTTGGCTTTGGTCTGCAGCCCCCCTACCGCTCCCCCAAACGCCCTCTTCTTCCTTACCGCTCGCCAAAATCTTTCCACCACCCCTAGGGGGGTTATATCGCCCACTTTGGGAACCATCGGGTTATAGCCACTTGTTTGACATTAGCTCCCACAACGAAACCAATCGATTATTCAGCGGATATTCAGCGTTGCAATCAGTTTTGAATTAAGTAACGGTGTTCAGTGTACTATCGTTGATGCTTCGTAAGTTTTGAGAGCTGATGACGTGATGACTTTTTAGAATGTTAAGAGCGATGTAGAGGAAGGCGCCCTGACGTGAGATTGAGACTTAAATGCATGCATTTTCTGAAGAGATTTATGCGCCGGTATTTGAGTCAAGCAAACTTTGAGACAGTGATGCTGTGGGCTCTCACCAAATCCAATTAGGCCATGCATCAACGTGATCGTATACAGGTCGTGATCGTCCTTTAACCCAATCTTTATTCAATTTACAAGAGGAGTTCAAAGCTCACTGCAATGAACGTTTGCTATTGCAGGTTTCAAAAACAAGCTCTGAACTTTCCCAGTTAAAATTTTGAGCCGAGACCGGCGCCGGGTTTAGCCGGGCTGGTCGCGCTTTAGCAGGATGGAGCCGTGAAACTATAACCGGCAATCTATCCCTAAAACTCCAGAGCCGCCCCAGAGCAGGCGTTGGGCAGGTTTGAGCAGGCGGTGCTCAGTAAGGGCTGCGTGACGGCAGGACAGAGCACACCTGGGCAGGTACTCAGAAGCTAATTAGCGCTGATACGCGGCTGGCGATATCGTCTCCAAAGCGGACATTTCTGCTCTATCGCTGCTCTGTCGCGTCTCTACGTCGGCTCTGCAGCCGGCGACGGCCTGCTCTATTCCCTGCCCTAAATTTTAACTGGGTTCCTTTGTCACGCCTCCTCACCAGGCAATAAACTAGCGTTTCTATTCTGCGGACTTGAACCATCAGACGATTTTCTCTAAACTTTAAATCCCTAGATCAAAAATGTATCTTATTCAAAACACTAACAGCGAGAACTGATTGAAACTATTTATGCCCCAGGCCTTGGGATAAGTAAGCTATCAGTTCAGTACTCATTAATGAAATGCTGGACTCGTGTTTCGAGACAGGGTTACTCAGAGGACGCTTTTGGTCTGAACTACCCGCATCTGCTATGTTTATCTCAGATATCTATTGGCAAAGACTAGACTAAATAAAGCTTTGGAAAAATATATGTTCAGACTCGACATCACTATGTTATGTTAAAGCCATTCTTAGCCTCGACCCAGGCAGGTCAACTGAGCACATTAGGATTGAAAGCATTCATACCTTCAGGCATCAAAAAGTCAGATCAATTGCTGGTTGAAAAAACATACGGTTCGGTCAGCAGATTCGAAGAGTACATCCTGGTTAAAGAAATTCACGACTCCTGTCGTTAGACAGATAAGCATCCTGTTTCCCTTGATCCATATCCCATGCTTAGGTACAGGCAACAGTGCAACGTAAGCATTGCTTGAACCTATTTATACCCTAGGCCTCCAACAATATACTCTCACAGACCGCAGACTATGAAAAAAAATAACCCCTTGTGCTCTGAGAAAGACAGGATTATATTCACCTCAGCATATTTGTGCCCCTAAACATAGTGTAAAGCAGTTTTTTTTTGGCAAGTAACTTATGAAAATAATAAGACCTCTGATTGAGCCGAGAAGACTTACATGGCACGTATTTGTTGAAGCGATTCTTGCAGATGTTGTTTGTGGTGAGCGCCTCGTCCACGTCACCCGTGGCACTCTCGCGCTGCAGACGTTCGAAGTGGAAGCCAAGAGTGTCGGAGGCTTGCAGCTGCAAAATTACAGCTTGAGTTACATTTTTCTTTGAAATACATTGTTGGAATAATAATTCAAAGAACGTTTCTCAATAGAACATTCCACCGTACAAGGGGTCTTAGTTTTAGCAGATAAAGCTGATTTTCGAAATTTCGTTTACATTCTCAATTATTAAAAAATTTAATAGCGTCAACACCATAAATGTATTCGGACATCGAAAATTAAAATTGCTCTCCTTGAATGTTCTGTCGCCGTTTAAAAAATTATTCATCACACATTTCCCCAGAAAAAAATATTTCTTCGCTGATTTTCATTTAACCCGTGGATTAAAGAGATTCTACCATGTGATATTTATATATCATAGTTGATTTATCATATGATACATGATTATTTTACAGTCCATTTAAGGGACCTGAATCATGGCAGCAAGCAGCTCCTGACAGCGCTGTTTTTGGTCTCCAGACCTGTTTCTTGTCTGGACAGCGCTGTTTCTGGAAAAATACAAGACAATTATCCGCTAAATATATACAGGAGTTCTTCTAATGATGGATAACAGCTAAACTTCATTTCAACGGACTATGTTGCGGTAATTTCCAATTATTATAGCATCAATTATGTTTGCAAGGAAAGTTAAAAATAGTCTAATAGAATATAATAGTTTCAAGCTAAAAATAGTATCAAGGGTTTTGGTAATATGTTTGATGGAGTTAGTTTGGAATCTAGAAAAAGGCTAAGGGCGTGGTGTTTAATCATACTGCAACTAATATGAATTTATATTTATTTGGGATTAAAGAGGAAAATTCTCTTTCTCCTACATGATAAATATGGTACGGAAAGTGAATTAGCCAGAATGATCACAAAGTAATTCACACTTAATGTCAGAATTAAGTGGGGACAAATCTCGCTTTCGCATTCAGTCATGCGTCATACATACATAGTTGCATGTACACGAAAAAGTGCGATCAAAATATTACGGAAAATTTCTTACACATTTGGGGCAACGCTTCTTCCTTCTTCACTATCCAAAGTTTTTACGCGGCTTTTTTTCTGACAATATAAGATGCATACAGCGATGATGGAAAGCCCACCAATACAAGAACCCACTGATAACATCAGTAGTATAGTTTTTTCATTGACGAGATTTCTTGCAGCATCCTCCGTCGCTCTTGATTCCAAAGTGTAGAAAACATCAGAAATGTCGGTCCCAATTTTCTTGTCATCCATGTAAGCCTGCTTGGTATATTTTCTGGTTAGTTTTCCAGATACGGAATTAATTGGGAAATTCGACTACCAGTACTTAGAGTTGCGTTGTTTGCCGGAATTGTTTCGATATTCATCTTAATCTAGACGTTGTTAGCCTTATGATATGATATTAGCCTTACGAAGTAAGATATTTCAATTGAGACCTATATATTGATATTCAATTGAGACCTATAAATTGAGACCTACAGTTCTTTCTTCTGTAAATTCAGTTGGAGCATCTAATGAACACAATTCTGTCAACCATTATTTCAACGCTAAAGTGAAATATTTTGTTAAATATAAATGCATCTCACCGTGACAACTACACGATAGCTTTGGCTTGAATGCAGGTTATTAATTGTGAACTTGCACACAGGCCGAGATCCCCCGGTCTGCTGGTCGGAACAGTCAGAGGCATTGAGGAAGGCTGAATAGTTGCTGTGTGTTTTAGATTCACTTGGGAGCGTAGCAGTGATACCGTAATGTGTCACGTGACCGGGGCATTTGTCAGGAGGTTGCCAGCTGATATTGAGGGAAGAGTTGCTTGCTGACTCTAGCTTGATAAATCTGGGAGGCGCGTGCTCTGCTCAGGAAAGACTTAACATTGCGCACACGTTGTCTTGGTTGAAGGTTTGATTGTAAAATTGACTTCAATTGAACATGGTAATAATTTAAGTTGAACATTGGAAGGGGAGTGACTATTTGAGAAGAATCGTACAGTAATTACAGTTCTTTCAATAAACATTTGTGTTAATAAACATTTCATCAGTTTAAAGCATTTATCATCTAGCTATGCTTGAAAAAATACGCATTGCTGATAGTCAAATTTCAAACTTGAATGAATACAACTGCGCTTCTGAACTGATTTAATACAATAAACCTTATGGCGTACCTTTTGTGGGAAAGAATGTCCCTCATAAACTTTGCGTCAAAACCATGCTCTTTTATTGAACCAATGGATTAATGTTTTCTATCGACGCAAATCTAGAACAATTTGGCACGAATATCTAGTTTTGCTCAGTTTCGATTTTATTTAAAAGCATTCTGGTGCTCTATTCCCACCTATCTCACCCGTGGTTTGCTGTATGCATTTCGCAGCGCTGGAGCCTGTTGCGTATTGGGCCACTACGCAGACATTGTAGACGCTCTGGCTATACGCTTCTCTTATTGTGTAGTTGAGACTGGGGAAGGCAAGCGTGATGTTCTGATCATCCTTAGGCGAGTTTATTTCTTTCACAAGGGATGTGTAGGAGTAGGAGAGAAGGTACTGCTTCACGGTGCAGAGGTCTCCAGGTTCCTCCCAGCCAACAGTTACCTCGTGACAGTCTAGGGACTTGATGCCCAGCGACCGCACGGGAAGAAAAGATGTCGTTCTTGGAAAGCCAGCATCTTAAAAATGTGAAAAGAGAAGTGGTGTTATATCTAGAAAAACTTTAAATACAATATTTTAAATGAATTATCTTACGAAAGTGGTGCTTCAATCACAAAGGAAACCGATACTAACTTTCTAAAAAGAGGACAAAGTTGAACGAAGATCAAAAATATGACAATCAAGATAATCACTCAGAAATTTTTTCAATTCACAAACATGATATGTATATGTATTGAAATTGGCATCTTTAATGTAGCCTGTTAATTGATGTTCTTTCATTTTCATTCCTTATTACACACGGTACCCACTTACCATTGTACCTGCTTAAAATGTTAATGCAGCTCTCGTTTCTGAATGAGGATTTGAGACCCGGTGCCATGCAAATGGTTATTTTTCCCATTAATTGATTTCCCTTTACAGCAACTGTGAATGAATTATTTGAAGTTCTGTGTTCGTTTTCAATGTGTTCGTTTGTATCGTCGTTCATGACTTCGGAGGATCTCACGGTGTATTCCTCAACGGCGTCGGTCCCGTTTACCTTACTCCACTGGACACTAATTGACGTATCTGAGATCTTCACAATTCTCAAGTCTCCCACGCTCAATAATTTCTGATCTGCAAGCAAATGAAAAAATGGCATGAAATTAGGCTCCTCACTGAGATATTGACGATTCTCACTCTCGATAACTTCTTTTGATTCTAAAAATTGTTTCCGTCCGTGATTGCGATTTGCACATATAAGCTACAATTGATACACAGTTTCGTGATAATACAGTTTTGAAACTATATATATTCGTTCCATGTGAGGAGGTAAGTCTTACTGTAATATTAGTAATATGTTGCTGTTCGTGTCATTTGTTCTTTTGCTACATAGGCAATGATAATTTTTTTTCTATCTTATTGTTGTTGCATGATCCGTGCCTGCACTAAATGGCAACAAATGAAATCACAGAGTGAATGACAACACATGAAACCATTTCACTTGAACCCACCATCAACAGTTAGCTTCGGGAAAATCCTCAGAAGTGTTCTCGTTTGGGTGGGATATTGCACGCAAATAGGCAGATAATTTTTCACGCATCTGATGGCACGTGTAATGTTGGATATATCAACAGGAGCAGAATACCGCGTTTCACTGTGCGCATACCAGCACAAGTGAAAGCCAGTGTCCAAGAAAACCTTTACTTGGACTAATTTTGAGGACAGGCCCAGCTCTGAAAGTATTATTAGATTAAGTAAATATGAAGCCTGAATGCACATGTTTTGAAGTGAACTTAATTCAACCAGTAACTTCGACAAAATGAATCCATATTTTTATTCAGTTTGAACGACAACTAAGATATTTTAATGTTTTCATATTCTACCAAATTAATATTAGGATGGAAAAATTTGTAATAAGTAGTACATATTCCATACAATACATAGGTACCTCTATAGATTAATTATTATTTTGTTTAACCCAAAAGATAAATATCGCTATAATAGAGATTTCCGATACAAGTAAAACTGAATAACTAATATAGGAAATTTTTATAGAATTATACCACATCCATTAGGTTACTCATATTCATATTACCTGGAGACGTCCACTTATCGCATGACAGAAATTCGTCAACTTTGCATCTATAAGTGATAGCGAGGATGTCATCTTTTGTTAGCTGTGCAGCCGCCCCTCGATCCACCAGGTAGCTCTGTCATAACAGGGTAGTTATTCGTGTTACTGATGAGTTTTAAACGTAACTGTCCAATTACGGCCTTCATTAGATTGATTCAAATTAATAAGTCGGAACGCAATGATATATATATATATATATATGAGTGGTTAATGACCAGAGAAATCATCGAATTAAATTTTCAGGATCGAACAATATTCTTCAGCTGACGTTGGTTGATAAAAATTCAGGTTCAAGGAAGTAAATTAATTTATTAACGACGTTTCGAATGTGATATCATTCATTTTCAAGTTATAGGAAGCATTGAATACTGAAATTTTGGCAGAAATAAGTACATGATACACGTAAATATTTTCAAGTTATAGGAAGCATTGAATACTGAAATTTTGGCGGAAATAAGTACATGATACACGTAAATATGATACAACACGAAAATTTGGAACCGCGAAAAATAATTCCGAAACAATCTCAAAGTTCAGAAAATCCGGTAGCCACGAGACGAGTAGCTGGAGTCCAATCCGCAGAGATGAGGGCCTCAGCTATCGTCGGTCGAATATTTCGGGTCACCGCACGATGAAGATGCTGGCGTGTTTCTCCAGCACAGTGAGAGTTGTCGTTAAGGGTGTCAGGGAGCCTGTTGAATTCATCACGGATCATGAGATGAAGTTGCTCGATGGTAAGACTTTGAGACCTGGTCTGGTTGCGAAATTGTCTCAGGTGGCAGGAAAAACAGCTGCTCAATGTCGATGAAGTTACTCCAATTACTCTAATGTAGTCCAAAAGATGAAGAAGTCTACAACCTTCTTTGAAGCAAAATTTATAGATCACATCAGATTCTTGAAGAACTCCTTCTTTTTTGAAGGGGCCGTTGCTGAGTACAGTTCGGGA